AAATCTAATTTAGGTAAATTTTTCTTAAAATAAGTGTGTTTTTTTCTTGAATTAAGCAGTTTAATGAGACACATTGTCAATGGAAAAAGACAACTTACATTTAAAATAAGAAAATCAATCTTTCTCAAGTACCTAATATCTTATTTTAAGTGTAAAAATACTCCATTATTTCAGTATTTACCTATTGAAATAAAGGATAAATACAGTTATTTTAAGGAAAGATTAATAAGTGGATAAATGGATGAAGAAATAGATGCTAGGAATTAATTAGGGGAGCGTGGCCTTATGGTTAGGGCATTGTGCTTGGAATCCAGAGGTTCTGAGTTCAAGCCCCACTTCCACGGACTGATGCTCTGGGTTCTTGAGCAAGACCCTTAACCTCACACTGCTCCCCAGGCGCCACTCAATGGCAGCCCACTGCCCCCCAAGGGAATGGGTTAAAAGCAAATTTCACTCCATTGCTCTGTAATTGTGACAGTGAAACGACAATATAAAAGCTGAAAAAATTTATATATTTTTTGGCATTAGAAGAGGAAGTAAAGCCTAATAATCAAAACAATGTTCCACATTAGTTTATCTCCCTCCATATTTATTCATACTGACAAAAAAATCCTGCAGTTTCCTCTCCTTTCAGTCTGTGTGGGATCTGTCCTTTTCACCTTTACTTACTAACATATCTAGGATGCACTCGGGAACCTACGTTTTCTCGTACTTCAGACGTCACATATTAGGAAATCTGTTCCTGCCTTTTTTTTTTCCTACTGGCATCGTTTTCACCTCCTCTCCAAGATGAAGGCATCCCACAAAGAGCTCTCCCCTTTTCAGACCAACTGCACAAGACACTGAAAATCCATGTTTAGACAGAAACAATGACAGCAGAGCATCCTCGCCTGTCTCTTTCCTTTTTTCTTTTTTTTCCCCCCCAGCAGCAGCGGGGAAGCGTCGCAGCTGAATCACCACGGGAAACGCTGCCAAAGCTCTAATTATAAACAACAGATTTATTCGGGTCACCCTCCACCGAAGAGGCTGGTCGTTGGTTTGTAAGAGCCGAGCCAGGGAAGATGCAGTTACACAACAGAGGGGTAGTCTCTGTGTTCTACATAACACATTTACTAGATGAATTATTAAACCGACTTTCCTCAGGACTAAACTACAGCCTAACGAGGCTAAGTTGGAACGACGGACGGGAACAGATATTTCAAAGCATTTACTAACAACTTCCTCTGTTTTCTGAATAGGGAGAGAGTTTGATTGTTTTCTTTTATGTATTTATAACAAAAAGTTAGTTTCCCCCCTTGTCTGAACTCCACAGGAGAGGCTCTAACACAAAGCAGCCTGCTGGAGGCAGATGGTGATAATGGAGGTAGTTTGGTCACCATGACAACAGCTGTGGAGCCCATGAATCTTCATCATGTGATGCTGAGATCACCAGGTAGGCATTAAAACATGTGGGGAGGGAAAAAAATAACACTTAGTAAACAGAATCTGAGTTCACACATCCGACGGTGTTACCTTACTGTGGTAAACACTTATTTGGGGCGAGCTGATGAATGTTCTGTTGATGTCAGAGATGCTGAGTCAGCTGCTGATGTTACTAATGTCCTGGTAAAGTCTGCATGTCAGTGGGGCGTCTTACTCATGCCTGTTCCTTTTTAGCAGCCTAGAATATTCAGCTTCTAATCAGCCTTCCTGTGTTGATTTCTTTTATTTTTACAAGTCCTTAACTTTAAATTCTTATTTTTTTACGTAAAAAGCAGAAAAAAACGACACTTATTGAGCCCAGCAGGAAATCGAGTAGTTTTTATGGGTTTAAGTCAAATTAAAGTGTCATTTCTTTCCTTTTTTTCCAAGGCATTCTAACCTGTTTTAACATTTTTTGATGAACCATAAAACAGCAGTGTATTCATGGTTCTATATAATTTTCCGATATGAAAGCTCAACAAGTGGGGCATGCATTTCACCTGCTCTACTGTAATACCCCAAAATAAAACCCTGTGTGCCTATCTGCCTTTAGAGGTCACCTCATTAGAGCCAGGGTTTATTTATTTGTGTGTAATTTAATCTAAGAATAACTCCATCTGTGGTCTGAAGACCTGAAAACTGAGGAAGACAACACACAGGTGATGGAGAAAGCTGTTGAGATGATCAAAGCTGGGTTTAGGTGAATGAAACAACCTATAAGGCTTTGATAATGTCTCAGAATGTACCATAGAGGAATGGCATAGCGGGAAATCCACCAATTTTTGGTTGCTTACCTAAAATGCTAAGAAAGCATCAATAAGAAGCAGCTACAAACCTTTAATTTAAAACCAAAAGAAAACCAAAATATGTCCTACTTGCAATGACCATGTTGGGAACATTTAGAAGAAGCTGCTCTGCTCAGATAAGAGAAGCATGGAGGTAGTAGCTGCATCATGCTTGAGGGAATACCGTTGAACACTTTACCCTTATTTTAATCTTGGTGTTTTTCTTAATTAAACGGAATAAAGGGGGATTGAATACTTATGCATCTACAGCTACAGGCTAGGGATCAGTGGTACATTTATGGCATATTTCATTTAAAAAGTATTGGACTAACCATGATCTCATGTTGCCTTGCTTAATTTTGCTTTTTTTTCTGTTTGCCGTTTGCAGGATCTACAGACTCAGTGGTAGTCCTTTCTCAGCCTCATGAGCTGGTGACCATGACAACGGAGGGGCATGCTTACGGAGAGGACGTGGTCTCTCTGCTTTAGTCTCCTGCCGTCACAAGCATCACGGTTTATTTCAGCAGCACTGGACTGATGGCCACAGTGGGATAAACAAAGACGTGTACAGTGAGGAAAATAAGTATTTGAACACGCTGCTGGTTGGCAAGTTCTCCCACTTAGAAATCATGGAGGGGTCTGAAACTACCACCGTAGGTGCATGTCCACTGTGAGAGACGTAATCCTAAAAAAAAAACAAATCACAGTGTTTGATTTTTTTTTTTTTTTACCATTTATTTGTATGATACAGCTGCAAAAAAAAGTATTTGAACGCCAGTCTATCAGCTAGAATTCTGACCCTCAAAGACCTGTTATTCTGCCTTCAAAATGTCCACCTCCTCTCCATTTATTATCCTAAATTAGATGCACCTGTTTGAGGTCGTTGGCTACAAAAAAAAGCACCTGTCCACCCCATACATCAGCAAGAATCCAAATAGTAACATGACCAAGAACAAAGAGCTGTCCAAAGACTAAATTAAACATCTCCACAAAGCTGGAAAGGGCTACGGGGGAATTTCCAAGCAGCTTGTTGAAAAAAGGTCCACTGTTGGAGCAACCACTAGAAAATGGAAGAATCAAAACATGACAGTCGATCTCCCTCAGACTGGGGCTCCATTCAAGATCTCACCTTGTGGCGTCTCAGTGATCCTAAGAAAGGGGAGAAATCAGCCCAGAACTATATGGGAGAAGCTGGTCAATGACTGAAAAGAGCTGGGACCCCCGTTTCTAAGGTTACTGTTGGTGATACACCAACGTCATGGTTTGAAATCATGCACGGCACTGAAGGTTCCCCTTCAGGATAAACCCTGCCTCAATCAGCACATGACCATTTGGATTATCCAAAGGAGTCATGGGAGAAGTCACATGGTCAGATGAGACCAAAATAGATCTGTTTGGTCCTAATTCTACCAAACGTGTTTGTAGGAAGAGGAATGATGAGTACCATCCCTACTGTGAAGCATGGAGGGGTTAGCATCATGCTTTGGGTCCATTTTTCTGCACATGTGACAGGGTGACTGCACTCTATTAAGGAGATGACCGAGGCCATGTATTGTGAGATTTGGGAGAACAACCTCCTTCTCTCAGTTAGAGCATTGAAGATGGGTCAAGGCTGGGTGTTCCAACATGCCAATGACCGAAGCACACAGCCAGGATAACCAACAAGTGGCTCTTGAAGCAGATTATCCAGGTTATGGTGTGGCCTAGCCAGTCTCCAGACCTTAACCCAATTGAGAATCTTTGGAGGGAGTGCAAACTCAGTATTTCCCAGAGAGAGCCCAGAAACCTGACTGATAGAGAGAAGATCTGAGTAGAGGAGTGGGCCAAACTCCCTCTTGCAGTGTGTGTAAACCTGTGGAAAAGTAAAGGTAACGCTTGACCTCTGTAATTGCAAACAAAGACTACTGTAGCAAATATTAACATAGATTTTCTCTGGTACTCAAATACTTAATTGCAGCTGTATCATACAAATATATAGTTTAAAAAAATCGTTATTTCTAGGGCTAGTTAAAAAAATCGATTTTGAATTGATTCCTTTACATTTTTGCAAAATCGATGTCTAGGGAATAAGATCTATTCATTTTATAGTGACGCGCATGACGTTCACATTCAAATGAGCAGGAAAGATGCACTCAAGATTACTTCAAGCCAGACAGCTGCAAATATAGCAAATAGGTTGACTGAAGACATTAACAAATGGGGGCTGACCAGAAAACACCCTGTAGTTGTTAAAGACAACGCTGAAAATATGGTTTGTGCAGTGAAGATAATGCAGCTCATGCATGTCTGCTGTGTCAAATCTGCTTGTTTGAGTGGGGCTTCACTTTTTCACTTTTCACAAACAAGTTTACACTTTTGAGCCAGTTTTGTTCACATCTCAAGCTTAAACTGTCTGATTTACAAGTTTGCACTTTGTGTTTAATGTGACAGGAAAAAATAAAATACATGATATTTTGAAACACAGTTGAACCACTTTCATTATTGTAAAAACAGATTGAATCGAAATTAATCGATTTAGAACTGCATGAATCAAAATCGAATTAATTCAGGACTTTGGCGAAAAAATACCCAGCCCTAGTTATTTCAGGATTTTATTTTATGTTTAGATCATGTCTCTGGCAGTGGACATGCACCTACGATGGCAGTTTCAGACCCCTCCATGATTTCTAAGTGGAACAACTTACAAAAAAAGCAGGGTGTTCAATACTCATTTTCCTCATTATATTTGTAAAAAATATGACTCACAGTCTTTAACACTTGTAGATATTTGTAATTAGCAAACAGTTTTATTTTGACATGCGTGTCATGGCAGTTTGTATGCACAGCATTTCTCCCTTATGTTATGAAACCAAAATGCTCCCAAAGAAGTGTTGGAAAAAGATTATGACAGATGTTTTAACGGCATCATCAGCTTTGAGATTGATGCTATATTTGCAGATGGGGGAAAAAAACTATTACCTGGAAACCTCAGTGGCTGATCTGACAGCTACCCTGTAACAAACATGTACCATTTTATGGTAAACATGAACTCCTTTCAATAAAATAATATAAAAAAAAAAAGAATTCAAAACCTTTTTTCTGCACAACCAGCTAACAGACATCTGAGATACAGCTCAGATTGATTTATTTCTCAGCCGCTGGATAAGGAGGTGAGAAAAGATTGAAGGCATTTGCTCCTTAATGGATCTTCAGGTTGTGAAAGTGGTCCAACACAGCACCGAGGGCCCAGCTAGCCTCAACGTTCTTCACTTTCTTGGTTAACTAGAAAAGGTAAATCAGGAAATCACCAAAATATATATTTCCACAACACAAAGAAAAGTAGTACCATATAACGATGAAGGAAACTGACTGTTTTCATGTCCCGGATGATCAGGCATTTCTACAATGGTGTAATTTCTACCTTGCATTTCAAATTGAACCACAAATAAAAACATTTACGACGCCTCACCAGCCTATTAAAATGACTGCCACAGACGTAGCATAAAACGAGGCTGTTCATGTTGCAGCCGATGTCACATAAAGCTGCCTAACCTGTAGGACAGCGCTGTCCTTGAAGCCAAAGCCATCCTTCAGCAGACAAGTGATGTAGGTCAGGTCCATGCACAGGAACGGGCTGACAGACGGGTACTTGGTCATCTTATTGCACACTGAGCAGAAGACAAGAAACATCATCTCTGTTAGGTTGGATAATCAGTCATTTGTATTCTGCTGACGGATGAGGGCGGCGTTTCAGATGGAAACCACTCGCCGTCCACTGAGATGCGTGCTGTATGTCAAGTGCAAGGAGCAGCAGATCTGTCATAGTAATGATGTATTCCTTTAGCCAGTCTCACCCTCTTTGGCTCTCTTCTTGAAGTCTCTGACCTGCAGCATTCCTCCTTGGACATTATCTACAACAGAGAGGGGGTTCATTATACATTTAAAATGCCAAAACAGTGATTACAACAGCTCATCTACATGCACATTTATATAGTACTAATAACAGAGCTGATGGCCTTCCAGCGCAGACGTGCAGCGGGATGGCAATTTCTATAATAACCACACAACTATGGCTCATCAAACCCCCTGATACAGGAGCAGATGACTCACATTTTTCAGCCTCTGTCTAGCATGCAGGCAGTGGATAATTATATAAGGTGTGAACAGAAGGTGTGTGTTCGTGCGCTCGCTTACTGATAAGGCCTGCATCCACAGCTCTGTCAAAGTAATAGGAGAAAGCGTAGAACACGTTGCTGTCTTCAAGCTCGTAGGGCTGATGAATAATCCCCTTCACCACCTTAAGTACTTCCTGATAGCAAAGCTTGTATCCTGCTTGACCTAAGGGAAAAAAAAAAAAAACAGAAAGTCTTGCAAATTATAAATATTCCCTTTGAACACCGTTGGAGAAGTGAAGCTGTGATGTGCTCGGATTTAAAACATGCAGTCATTTATCCCACATGGTTGTGGTCAGGTGAAGTTATTGATTTAACACAAACGCAAGGTGGATCATGTAGAGAGCAGCTTTTGCTGTGATTACAGATGCACTGAAATACTTGGTCATTCCTCTTCATAGAATAACTCAAACTCCCTCAGACTGATTGGATTCTAGCAGAATTTTAATTTGATTGCGGTCTAAACTTTGACTCCATTATATATATATACAGGTGCTGGTCATAAAATTAGAATATCATGAAAAAGTAGATTGATTTCAGTAATTCCATTTAAAAAGTGAAACTTGTATATTATATTCATACATTACATACAAACTCATATATTTCAGATGTTTATTTTGTTTAATTTTGATGATTACAAATGACAACAAATGAAAATCTCAAATTCATCATATCAGAAAATTAGAATATTACTGAAGACCAATAAAAACAAAGGATTTATAGAAATGTTGGCCAACTGAAAAGTATGAACATGAAAAGAATGAGCATGTACAGCACTCAGTATTTAGTTGGGCCTCCTTTGGCCTGTATTACTGCAGCAATGCAACGTGGCATGGAGTCGATCAGTCTGTGGCACTGCTCAGGTGTTATGATAGCCCAGGTTGCTCTAATAGTGGCTTTTAGCTCTTCTGAATTGTTGGGTCTGGTGTATTGCATCTTCTTCTTCACAATACCCCATAGATTTTCTATGGGGTTAAGGTCAGGAGAGTTTGCTGGCCAATTAAGAACAGGGATACCATGGTCCTTCAACCAGGTACTGGTAGCTTTGGCACTGTGTGCAGGTGCCAAGTCCTGTTGTAAAATGAAATCTGCATCTCCAAAAAGTTGGTCAGCTGCAGGAAGCATGAAGTGCTCTAAAACTTCCTGGTATGTGGCTGCGTTGACCCTGGACCTCAGAAAACACAATGGACCAACACCAGCAGATGACATGGCACCCCAAACCATCACTGACTGTGGAAACTTTACAGGTGCTGGTCATAAAATTAGAATATCATGAAAAAGTAGATTGATTTCAGTAATTCCATTTAAAAAGTGAAACTTGTATATTATATTCATACATTACGTACAAACTCATATATTTCAGATGTTTATTTTGTTTAATTTTGATGATTACAAATGACAACAAATGAAAATCTCAAATTCATCATATCAGAAAATTAGAATATTGTGAAAAGGTTCAAAATTGATGGCCCCTGGTGCCACACTCTAATCAGCTAATTAACTCAAACCACCTGCAAAAGCCTTTAAATGGTCTTTCAGTCTAGTTCTATAGGCTACACAATCATGGGGAAGACTGCTGACTTGACAGTTGTCCAAAAGACGACCATCGACACCTTGCACAAGGAGGGCAAGACACAAAAGGTCATCGCTAAAGAGGCTGGCTGTTCACAGAGCTCAGTGTCCAAGCACATTAATAGAGAGGCGAAGGGAAGGAAAAGATGTGGTCGAAAAAAGTGTACAAGCAAGAGAGATAACCGCACCCTGGAGAGGATTGTGAAACAAAACCCATTCAAAAATGTGGGGGAGATTCACAAAGAGTGGACTGCAGCTGGAGTGAGTGCTTCAAGAACCACCACACACAGACGTATGAAAGACATGGGTTTCTGCTGTCGCATTCCTTGTGTCAAGCCACTCTTGAACCACAGACAGCGTCAGAAGCGTCTTGCATGGGCTAAAGAGAAACAGGACTGGACTGCTGGTGAGTGGTCCAAAGTCATGTTCTCTGATGAAAGTAAATTTTGCATTTCCTTTGGAAATCAAGGTCCCAGAGTCTGGAGGAAAAGAAGAGAGGCACTTCATCCACGTTGCTTGAAGTCCAGTGTAAAGTTTCCACAGTCAGTGATGGTTTGGGGTGCCATGTCATCTGCTGGTGTTGGTCCATTGTGTTTTCTGAGGTCCAGGGTCAACGCAGCCACATACCAGGAAGTTTTAGAGCACTTCATGCTTCCTGCAGCTGACCAACTTTTTGGAGATGCAGATTTCATTTTCCAACAGGACTTGGCACCTGCACAAAGTGCCAAAGCTACCAGTACCTGGTTGAAGGACCATGGTATCCCTGTTCTTAATTGGCCAGCAAACTCTCCTGACCTTAACCCCATAGAAAATCTATGGGGTATTGTGAAGAAGAAGATGCAATACACCAGACCCAACAATTCAGAAGAGCTAAAAGCCACTATTAGAGCAACCTGGGCTATCATAACACCTGAGCAGTGCCACAGACTGATCGACTCCATGCCACGCCGCATTGCTGCAGTAATACAGGCCAAAGGAGGCCCAACTAAATACTGAGTGCTGTACATGCTCATACTTTTCATGTTCATACTTTTCAGTTGGCCAACATTTCTATAAATCCTTTGTTTTTATTGGTCTTCAGTAATATTCTAATTTTCTGATATGATGAATTTGAGATTTTCATTTGTTGTCATTTGTAATCATCAAAATTAAACAAAATAAACATCTGAAATATATGAGTTTGTATGTAATGTATGAATATAATATACAAGTTTCACTTTTTAAATGGAATTACTGAAATCAATCTACTTTTTCATGATATTCTAATTTTATGACCAGCACCTGTACACTGGACTTCAAGCAACGTGGATGAAGTGCCTCTCTTCTTTTCCTCCAGACTCTGGGACCTTGATTTCCAAAGGAAATGCAAAATTTACTTTCATCAGAGAACATGACTTTGGACCACTCACCAGCAGTCCAGTCCTGTTTCTCTTTAGCCCAGGCAAGACGCTTCTGACGCTGTCTGTGGTTCAAGAGTGGCTTGACACAAGGAATGCGACAGCAGAAACCCATGTCTTTCATACGTCTGTGTGTGGTGGTTCTTGAAGCACTCACTCCAGCTGCAGTCCACTCTTTGTGAATCTCCCCCACATTTTTGAATGGGTTTTGTTTCACAATCCTCTCCAGGGTGCGGTTATCTCTCTTGCTTGTACACTTTTTTCGACCACATCTTTTCCTTCCCTTCGCCTCTCTATTAATGTGCTTGGACACTGAGCTCTGTGAACAGCCAGCCTCTTTAGCGATGACCTTTTGTGTCTTGCCCTCCTTGTGCAAGGTGTCGATGGTCGTCTTTTGGACAACTGTCAAGTCAGCAGTCTTCCCCATGATTGTGTAGCCTATAGAACTAGACTGAAAGACCATTTAAAGGCTTTTGCAGGTGGTTTGAGTTAATTAGCTGATTAGAGTGTGGCACCAGGGGCCATCAATTTTGAACCTTTTCACAATATTCTAATTTTCTGATATGATGAATTTGAGATTTTCATTTGTTGTCATTTGTAATCATCAAAATTAAACAAAATAAACATCTGAAATATATGAGTTTGTATGTAATGTATGAATATAATATACAAGTTTCACTTTTTAAATGGAATTACTGAAATCAATCTACTTTTTCATGATATTCTAATTTTATGACCAGCACCTGTATATACACATACGTGTGTGTTTGTGTGTATATATATATATATATATATATATATATATATATATATATATATATATATATTAGTGCTGTCAAAATTATCGCGTTATTAACGCGTTAACGCGAGGCCATTTTAACGGCGATAATTTTTTTAACGTGAGATTAACGCTATGTGGTTTTATGGTACAATTTTTCCAAGTACATCCCGCTGCAGCCTGCGGGAAGGCGGGGCTATTTTCCCCCAGTCTATGCATTTCTCATAGGCTTCTAGAGCGGAGCTCCTCAAGGGAAAAAGACGCTCATACACTGGGTGACGCTAGTGCCTTTTCTTTAAGCCCCACCACCAACAAACAAGTTGAGTGTCTGGTAACTAGTAGCAACCTGAAATACGCTGAGAAAACTGATTACTGAGGTGAAATGGAATCTCGTAGCAGCCCTCTTGCCGTCTGTGTACGCAACAGGTCAGTATCGCGTGTGTGTGTGTGTGGGTGGGTGTGTCTGTGTGTGGGTGAGTGGGTGTGTGTGTGTTCTCATTTTTGTTAAGAGGCTGAAAAGTAACTTTCTAGAGCATAGACTACCTTCATCTAGTAATGTCGGTCTATTGATTTTGATGTATTGATTGAAAATTGTTCATTATTACCTTGGTTAATTAACATCTAATGTTAACTCTACTGCATTTTATAGCGGTAGGGTAAAATGCTTGTCTTTGTTCAAAAGACTGTATTAACTGTAAAGACTGTCTTTTACATCAGCCTGTTTTCAGGGCCTTTTTTTTGCCTACATATTTGTTATTTTTTGCTACATGCCTCCCCATCTTCTTGCCATATGTTTCTATGGCATAAATCAGTATCTGTGACCTGTTTTCATTTAAAAAAAAGAACATTGGCACAAACCTAGCCTGTATGTATTTTTTTGTATGTCATCGAGAGTATTTAAATGATTTTCAATCAGGAAAAAAATGTGCGATTAAAATGCGATTAATCGCGAGTTAACTCAGGCATTGATGCGATTAATCGCGATTAAAAAATTTAATCGATTGACAGCACTAATATATATATATATATATATATATATATATATATACACACACACACACATATGCATATATATTTAGCTTGATCCAAAACCTTGTATCTCTGACAGGATGATTAGGGTCATGGTTTCAGCCTCCAGCCTCTCTTGCAGATAACTTTTCTATCAAATCTTTTCCCCTGACTGTTTAAGAAAAGCATTCTCAAAGCATCGCCATGATACGGCCACCACGTTTAAGTCTAATAGTTATTTCTGCTTTCCTTCTAAAGCCAGTTGGTAGCACTAGAATTATTGAATGTCATCAGATTAAATATGGTTTTACAGATTTATGTTGGTCTTTTATGTAAATCCCAATAAAATACAAACATTTGTTAAAACATAAAGGGAGGGAATCCCTTTGGCTGAAGTTACTGGTTCAAATTGTATGTAATCTCTCCTTCTTGGATCAGATCTTACCCTCTGGGTCTCCGCTCACTTGGTAGGTAAGACCTCCGAAGCTCCAATCATCCCTGAACTGCTTCGGCAGGCAGGAGCTTTTAAAAACCCGCCACTCCAACCCTAGCAGGGCACACACACATAATTAATCTTCTAAATGGTTCAACAGCCTCACACAAGCTTATCACGGTCGGGGCCACTGATAGCACACCATTTTTTTTTGCTCAAGCGCTTCTGATTAATCTGAGGCTAAAACTTGAAATGTATATTAGCATAGAAACTGGAGGTACAGCCTTTATCTTGTGATCTAGATGAAGCAGAAATGAGCGAATAGACAGTGCAGTACGCTCAAGAGTCCCTGCAGTCTTAAGTGGCAAAGTGATGGCGATAAAGCAGATTTAAGTTTATGTACCTTCTGCGCCCAGAGCACCCAGCGCTGCAAGTCGAGCAGCCATTAGTCCATTTCCAAGATAGCTGGGAAAATAAAAGGGTATGTACAGTAACAAAAATAACAGATCTAAAACTGTGATGCCTGATTACTATAATGGAGATTAAGTAGGCACTACAGGCTCACCTAGTTATGCATTTATCCTTTAAATACCCAAAATTAGTAATATAACAGCAGATAATTCAAAGGCTTTAGAAGTTTTAATCAAATTTAAAGTAATAATCTAAAATTCCACAAGAGTCTGCCTAATGAGATTGGTTACCTGTGAGTGTACAGCTCAAATGTTGAGTTGAGGAAATCAAATCTGGCAACATAATCATCCTTGGGAGCACTCTCAATTGTTTTCTGCAGTAAACAGATTAAAACACTTAGCTGAAGCTGTTAGAGGTTTAAAAAATCTGCAAGAATAATGTATAAAAGCGGAGGCCGACCCTCAGTTTGGGCAGGAAGGTGATCTGTGTGGACCCCCCTCCCAAATCCAGGATTCCCACTGTCTTCTTGGCGTGTGAGTTCAGGTGACCTGGAAACAATTTGATCACCTTAATCCAACATCTGCAGCTGGGAAGAGTAATCCCTTTACACCTGAGATGCTATCTTCAAAAGGCCTGCTTTGGCAGAGTGCTCCATCTAAGAAGCATAAACATTCCCGCTCAGTCCGAGAAAGATCACAGAAGCAGGCTTTAGGCAACAAACTCATCCTTATACTCATCGCCTTCTATTTATGGACACAGGCGTATAATGCAATATGATGGCAGGTTAGGAAGATGCATGCAGTCTGGAGAAAACAGGAAAAAAAATTTCCATTTGGCCGATTATTTTTACATCGGTCTAACATATATGAGCTGCCGATTTGTATTTTTTCTACCTCCATTTACATGATAAAAATGACACAATTCTAACACTTATTATTCTCAGTATAGCAAAAAAAAAAAAGAAGCAAAATATCAATGATGGATAGAGATGGATGCGCTTCATGTTATCTCAAAGCATGGCTGCTGATTAATGAATCACCAAACACATGAACCATATCAGCCCACCAATGGGTACTTTATTGCATTTTATAATGTTGTAATAACAGACTTCAGTGTATGCAGTTAATCGACAGGGAGAATCATAGCATGATAAGAGGTGGGATTTGGCGTAGTAATGACCCCGTGATTTCTTTAATAAAAAAAAAAACTAAAAGTATGGTTGCTACTGTTATTTATGATTTTGAACTATTTGTTATTGCCTTTATGAAATAAATGATTGATTAATCAAATACGAGTATTTATTTAGATGAATGTCATGGGAGCAACAGACTGTATCTAATGCAGTTTTGAGTGCGGGAGAACATTTTTTTTTCCATGCAGTGTCTCTTTGCTGCAGTTTGGTTGTATTCAGTTTAAATCCTAACGATTACTTAGAGTTTCCCAATAAACGCAAAAACATGATGTTAAAACCTGTTAATTATTACCTTTAGCGACTAGATGGCTTTCTTTCACGTCTTCTCTAATTGTTAAAGCCAATATATGTTAGTTTTTGACATATGATGCCACCCTGATAAATAAATGTTTGCTTAAGCAGTATCAATTCTTTACCAAAGCACTGTAGAATTTACCTCACTTACCTGTTAGAAAGTTCAGAGAAATCCAAGCCAGAATGCCTACATTTGAATAGAAATAATCACATATTTATAAAGCAGGTCATTTCAGGGGGAGAAAAAAACGAAAATTGAAAAAGCTCCCGACAAATTAGTGAAATGCAGGCACATACAAGAAAAACAGAAATGCTGACAAACCAATTATGCCACTGTACAACAGCCTGTTTTTTTCTCCCACATAATTACTGGCTTTTAGGGTTAAAACGACTGTGCTTGAAAGGCTTTCGTTGTTTTGTGTGTCATCACAAAAACATCTATAATCTTATGTAATTAAGTTAAATGCCTTCATTAAGCTAAGGTCCTGACAGAAACTGAGCAGCAGATCTAATGATGATCCTCCAATATAACGGGAGGGGGTGAAGAGGCTGCTCATTGCAGATGTTTTACCTTCGTTTGTGCCGTTCATAATGCTGACGCTGTTGTCAGACACCAAAAAAGGGGATTCGTCGAATACGCGTTGAACCTAAGAGAGAGGAGGAATTTGGCGTGAGAATGAGAGAGTAGTGGAGCAACAGTAAGTAGGAGTGAAATGGGCCGAACATTATCGGATATAATGCTGGCTCATCCAGAGGTGCCCTCCGCAGTATGGGATTAATTCATTCCCTCAGGGGCGGATTATGAAAGTATCATTCATCTTCCAAGGTGCTTCGGGGCACTGCTTTCTTTTTTTCCTATCCTCATAAACGATAGCCTTTGACACAGAGCTTACAGGGATCCAGCTGCATTACATTACTCTGCTGCTTCCAAGAATAAAACATTGGTTTCTCACAAAAAAAATAAGGCTATAAGGCCAAACATTTTCTTTAAGCGAAGGAACAGCTCCATACTGATGCTGAACCCAGGAGATGCGAGTCTGACCTGGTCCAGAAGGGCCTGGGCTTTGGCTGCAGGCAGGAGACGGAGTCCAGCTGTGGCTCTAAGGACCAGCGGCGTCCTCTTCCAGTCCAGGCGGGGGACGGTCTTTTTGGCCACCTTCAACAGCATCCTCACCGTTTCTCCAGCCTGTGAGAGCTGAAACATTACCTACAGACCAGCAAAGCTCTGGAAGGCACAAACCCACTGCTCTAGTGAGATTGATGTCAACAAATTTAATTGCCACTAGTTTGTCTTTAATCTGAATCTTTGTGTGGGAACAAGTGTTAATTGCTGACAAATACTGCATGACAGGGTGTATAACCTCTGCTAATCTTCAAGGCCAGTTCTTCATTGCGGTTCTTGGTTAATCAAAAGCATAATGTTATACAATATTCCAAGAAAAACACACAGGAGGGTCAAAAAAACATTCATGACCCAACTAATTATAACTGGAAAAATATGATTGGTCCTTAATTTCTAAAATATAATATATATAGATATAATTCCTGCTTTGCAGGTTAGCAATTCCTCATCCAGGCACCTTATCATTCCCATGGATACTTCATGAGTTTTCTTTAGCAGTAAAGCATAAATCACGTTATCAGGAAACATAAAACCCAAAGTGTGACTAAAAGTGGTAAATCATCTAGGAAAAGGGCTAAGAAATAATTTTAACTCATCAAAATGATGATTTTCCAGTTATTTTAACATATTATTCACCGGTTACACTTCATTTAAATTACTCAGAGCTTTTCCTAGTGGTCTAGGAGGTCTAGTGGTGTTTATTTGTAGTGGTTAGACAGACTATATTGAGGACTGAGGCGGATATGCTGCTACAAATAATTAGTAGTGTCTGTAGATGATAATTTGGGGATATCAGTTATTGTTTGATTCTAGGTGCCTCGTTAATTGGGGCATCATCAGCCTTTTCCAAACCTTTTTGTCCCGACGATGAACTCACCGTGTCAGGGTATTCTGCATATGCTGACAAACCCGGCTTTATGGAATGGAACATCTCATTGTCCAACACAGGCAGCTGCTCTGAAAAGGCACAACATCCACCCACACCGTCAAAAAATGAAGCAGCTGTTAAAAGCCCTCAAATGCCTCCAACCTCTTAGCATGCATATGCATGATTTATCAGGCAAATTAAGCCCTATGTGACTTATGCCCTCTGAATTTACAGGTTTAATGAAGTATGAAAACAGAGTACACGCCAACCCAAAGTGCTGATGTTCACTTCAGCTAATCACCGACGACACACATTTGGCCTGTTTTAGTTTGTTCTGTTGCAGGACGGTTTTACCCGAGTAGCTGTGGATGAAGGTGTAGACGTGAATGCGCGTCCCTGTGCTCCCTGCGTCAAACATCACAGCGTAGAAGATGCGGCTGTGGTTGGCCGGGCGGCTCAGGCTCGGGAGGATCCCCGACAGATCCAGGAGAGAGGTCCTGGACTGGGCTCGGTTCAGCCCTGCTGTGGCGAGAAGGATCAACAGAAGAACCGGGACGGTTGGCTTCATCTTCCCTCTGCAGCATAAGTTGGGGATGGGGGGGAGGAGGAGGAGGAAGAAAATGAAGGCTGGTAAGCAATTGTTGTGAACAGCAGACAGTTTGCTGAAGTGGCTGAGGACTTGTTATGGCAGTTGTTAAATTACAGTTGTAAGAAGCCTTCAGGTTTATGCAGCGTCAGATCTGACCACGCCTCATGCACTGTCCAGCCAACCATGGCGACGTACACCAAAAAACACTGTTTACTGTCTCTGTCAACTCACATGGAAAGTTTAACAGTCAGTTTGACACAACTCCATAAAACCAGCGATAAAATCTTGGTGTTTGGTCAAAGATGCTCCATGTGTGCCTCTTACTGGATTTAGCTTCAATTACAGGGTTGTCTAATTAGTGCTGCCCAAACCCTTCTACCTGCTCTATCAACCACTTCACTGACTTGTCCTCTGAGCAGAGAGGCTTTTTACGGCCTTTTCCCAATTGAGGGAGTCCTACTCAACGATCACGCTGGCTGCTGTGTGAGGGGAAAAAACAAACTTAAAATCGCTTTCGTTTGCGGTCCAGATGTTTGCTCATTAAAGCTGAATGTGCGGTTGACGCAACAGCAGCAAAACCCAATTAAATCTGACTAACTAGGTGTTACGCTGTCTTGCATATAATCACATAATTTGTCTCCTCATATTACACCTTTCTACCAATCATGGCTGTGCTCTGAACATGGATGAAATTATAAGACACTGAAACTCGCATTCCTACACATTTTAATGTCAGTGTTTCATACGCACATTATTTACTGTGTAATATTTCTACAGATACTTCGGTTTAGGTTTGGATTAAATACGGATGGATATATTCAAAATAGAAGATAAGATAATGGACAAACAGGGAATGAATGATGAGATGGATGAAAAGGTATAGAAAAGGACAAATAAAAGGACTTTACTCTAGTGCAGTGGTCTCCAACCCTGGTACTCAAGATCTACTGTCCTACAGATTTTAGACGCATCCCTGCTTCAACACAGCTGAATCAAATGATTGATTACCTTTTCAAGCCATTCATTTGATTCAGCTGTGTTGAAGCAGGGATGCGTCTAAAATCTGTAGGACAGTAGATCTTGAGGACCAGGGTTGGAGACCACTGCTCTAGTGGTTTAACTACAGTCCACTGTGACAGTGTGACAGTGTAAATAAAATATGCGGCTCCATTTGCAGGGGTTGTTTGGCCAAAGGTCATAGACTGGAGCTAAAAAGTGATTCCATCGTCAAACTCAGAAACACTAAATGCTCCGTGATTAGAAATCCTCATCGATCAGGTTCAAAATCTGGCTCAGGTGCAGTCAGGTGGTATTTCTACTGTAAATGTACGACAATTTGCTGAATCAACATCTCATGGTTTGGATCCACTAATTGCAATGTTCTGTCTTAAAATATGGAACAATTAAATAAAACAATTTAGAATTTAAAAAAAGAGGAGAACAGAAGGAAATAGGGAGAAAGCACAGACAACGTTCATTTGCAAACGATGCTGCAAGCCTTTTTCCGCATCCTACAGCAGCACAACAAACCTCTTCTATCACCTAAAGAAGAATCATGAAAAACAATACATAAGGATCCAAAACTATAGCCTACTTTAAGAGTAGTTAGCCTGATGCACCCCATATGAGATCAGTTATCAGCGCCATAAACAAATCACAGTAGCTATTGCACATTACATAAGAACAGGCATCATCCCTATCCATGTATGAAGTTGAAAAGGAGAGCTTCTGATACCTTGTTAAAGGCATCTACTAATTTTTTTTCTCATTTGCGACAGTTCTGTAAATGTCACTTCAAAATACAGATGAAAAAAGTGAGCTATTTTTCAGAGATTAGCAGAAAACTTACTTATTTGGGGTATATTGTCATATAAAATAGTTCATATCCTGATATATGATTTTTTTCCCATATGGCTCAGCACTATATAGGATCGGTACATCTCTCTACAAATACAAAGGAGGAAATGTTTCAGGAGTCATAGAGGGGGGATTGTTGCTGCTGCTGCTGCTGCTCCTCTAAGAAAGCTTAGGAAGTCACTTTAAAATAACTCCAGATCAGCAGATAGTCATATTTTGAAATAGAAACATTTCAGTAAATGTAAAAGAAATATACAGTCAAGAAAAACAGCTCCTCCTAGCTATAGCAAATCGAGAAATCTTTCAATTTAAGTTAATCCTCACTTTAATCTCCATAAATGATCGTCTCTACCTTATTTTATGTATAATAAGACGTCTTATTTGGTTCACATTCTATTCTGAGCTCCATTTTACATCAAAGGTTAAGCATTAAGACTTTTAAATATTGAAAAAAGAGAAAGTTTTCAATCTACAACACCATATTAAACTAAAATAAAATCCTACATCATCAGTCAGAAGATGCTCATAGGATGCAGCCGCACAACTAATGAGAATCTGATCTTATTGTCTGCTGCTTGCTTGTGTGCTTTCGACTGCTCCCATATTAAGGGATCACCACAGCAAGTCATTTTACAGAGAAAGACTTAAACCACTTCTCCTTGGGGACTCCTGCCTCTTATATCTTAGTTATAAAGTAAGTCTATAAAATACTATTATTAAACAGCAAAATAAATGGCAGGTATGACCTGAGACTAATTGATAGTGTACACAAAAGAGTCGTATAGTAATATAAAGAGATAAAACAGATTGGACATGTTTTAGAGTTTACTGAATTTTGTGAAAATGTCAAAATCGTATTCTAATAAGATTAAACATTTCTAAGCACAAAACATATTTACTTTTTTCTTGCAAATTTAGGGTAATCAATTTGAGAGGACTGAAGCTTTCGTTCCAAATTTTAACTTATTCTTGGAAAGGTGATTTAACTGCTTAATAAAATGCCCAAATCTGCTGTTGCACTGTTTTAATTGACAATAAATGACATATCAACTTTTAATGAAGTCCATAGTACAAGGAGTATTATATTCAAACTTTGGAAGCTGTGAATAAATTGTTGGGATACGAAGGATAAAGTATTAGTACCATACACCACGGTAAGGCACATCCTGTTGCAGGGTGTCAGCTCTCACTCATTGGGCATGAGACTCATGCATCTCAGTGACTTCAAATGCTCTCACTACATATCCGCATTTTTCCACGCTAAGAAATGACGAACATTGAAACTCAACTCCATTCAACTTATTAATATATAAAAATACCATGCAGATAAAAATCCAGTCCACTTTTTCAACACAACTTTAGTGCAAACACACAAAGACATGCCAGGTTTATATCCAGTCTGTATTTTTGCACAAGCCCACCTATTCACTGTGCCAGCTATTGTAAAAAGACCGGCATTTCTGAGCAGGTATTACAAGGTATGTCATAGGATTTTTGATCTTATCCTTATCTTATCTGGACTAAGATAAATCACTTTGTAAATTAATGAAGATTTTAAGCAATCTAGTACTTGACTACATATGAATAGAATATACAGCAGCTAGCTTAAATTTTCAACATGGAGACTGAGTGTAGGATCACATCAAACTGACATCGAATGGTTTGTTGTCTCTACATCTAGTTCTTTTTTTAGTGAACGTTACTCCTTGTTTGCTGTAATTTAACCACCTGATTTAGCCACAGTTTTAATCAATGTTTTGCTCACAAGTTAAATAATTATTGCTCAGTCTAGTTTAATAACCCCCCATTTGAATTGAGGACTAATTAAACTAACACAAATATCTAAATTCTTAAAGCTTTCAGGTTTGCCTCAGAAACCCATAGGAGGTTCACAAAAAAAGAAAATCAGCATTTTATTTTTCAAGAGATCAGCCACCCAAGAAAAGACCAACCACATTCAGAAAGGATGTGCAGAAAAACTCAGTTATCCAGGATTCATAGAGGAGGAACCACAGGGATGTTCTTATTTTATTATTACTTATCTTATCCATTTATCCTTATTTTGGAGAGTTTTTATAGACTTTACAGCCTCCTAAAATGTTTGGATTTTTTAGCCGTTTGTTCAATTGTAAACTAATAAAATAATGACTTGAGATTTGTAATCCTATTACCAAATAATAGTACACAGCGTATTTTGCATGGGATTCAATTGCACTGGTTCCATCCTGTATAAGTGCCAGTAATAACTTATTAGTATTTAAGAATATTAGAATATTTAATAAACAAAGTTTTAAAATTCTTAGTTTACAGTATATTGAAGATGCAAGTATTTTAGTAGGGCCCGTTCTTCTTTACTTCAATCCTCTGAAAGTCACCAGAATATAAAAAATAATGCATATTGTGTGAAAAATGTTCCACCTACAGTAACTGCAGATTACTTATTATTACTCAGTAACATTTACTGTGCTGTAAAAAAAAAAAAAAAAAAATTTGTCACTTTGGTTCAGTCAAATCCTTTGAAAACATACAACCTATAGCTGCAATCTAAGCATGACAAGAGTGGCCTGTCCAAACTCTTTCAAAATCTCAATCCAAGGTTAAGGGAATAGTTTCTATTAAATTTTTATTATCACTAGGGTCACTAGCTAATTATTGCCTTTTACCAAAACTATGGATGGGGGATTAATTGATAAAAATTAATTATTTAATAACAAATAATATATAATTAATAAAATAATAATACATTTTTTTGTTAATGAAAATTCCATTTTTGGAAAATATTGATTTTTTTTAACTAACTTGGGCTTCACCAGCTCCGATTGACATCAGTTCATCACTTTTTGTTTTTATATTAGTAATTATAATAAACTAGCTCTCTGTATAATGCTTATTGCTGAAAAAATTTAGTTTTTTTTGTATATTCATTGTTGTAAAACATTATTATTTTATAAGCATGTTTCTCAGCTTGAATTTCGTTTCCCTTTAAATTAAGGTCACATCTTAAAGGGGAAGATTGAAAACAAAGCTAGTTTTTGAAATCCTAATATATTATTTGTCATTTTTTTTATTAAAACTTAAGTGAGAAAAAAAAAATCCATTACTTGGATTCTGTAAGTCCACCTTAGGCCTCTTTCAACAGATGGCCGCCCCTGGTTATTGAACATCTTAGTTAAGTTAGTTGTTTTTAACAAATTAAACATTCTTTCCCTGAAACAGCGTTAATCACAACCAACGATTTTAATTGTCTACAACTTCAGTTCATTTAACACTTAATATCATAATAATGAGTCTAAGCTGAGTGTAAACATTTAGGATAATTACCATCCCTGCTATTAGAGAAAGCTAAAGGCTAACATTAGGTTACTAACCATAGATATCTATGTTACTAACGGTTAGCCGAAGTAGAGGTCTTACCAAATTCTATTATTTTAATTTAAAAGTATTAACAACAGTCAAAAAAAGGTTCATATCTTTAACTAATCAACTGTTGTGCTATATAAAGGCTGAAAACCGCAGTCTCACCATGATGTTCGACTTTTCACCCGACCGTTTTCTTCCAACGGTGATATCAGCTCTAGTTTAGATCAGAACTTCTAAATAACACCCCATAATAATAAACTGCCATAGTGGAACCAGCTAGTTCACCCTGTGACGTTTCCTTTGACCCGGAAGTACTTCATAAAGCGTATTTTGTAAAATTATTTAAATGTACAAAAAAAATTGTTGGTCAGTTAAAACTTCCTATTTGCTATTTCTATTTTATTTATTTAAAATAAGCTCTACTTTTTGCAAAACCAAGCTGGACACGACGTGGATGACCGTCACACAAGGCACAAAAAAACCCGTTGGAAAAAAAATATGCTCCCCTACGGAAGAGGATTAGGGCCACTGAAAAAGGTTAAAAAAGTTATCTGATTTAAAAAAAAATAAAAATTTATCTCAGAATTCTGACTTTAATATCAGAATTCTTACGTTAATATCAGAATTCTTACTTTAATCTCAGAATTCTGACCTTTTCTCTGAATCCTTACTTTAATCTCAGAATTCTGGCTTTTTCTCAGAATTCTTACTTTAATATCAGAATTCTGACTTTAATCTCAGAATTCTGCCTTTTTCTCAGAATTCTTACTTTAATATCAGAATTCTTACTTTAATCTCAGAATTCTTACTTTAATCTCAGAATTCTGACCTTTTCTCTGAATCCTTACTTTAATCTCAGAATTCTTACTTTAATATCAGAATTCTGACTTTAATCTCAGAATTCTGCCTTTTTCTCAGAATTCTTACTTTAATATCAGAATTCTTACTTTAATCTCAGAAGTCTGACTTTTTCCTCAGAATTCTAACTTTAATCTCAGAATTCTTACTTTATTCTCAAAATTCTGACTGAATTGTTACAGCTAACAAACATGTTAGCATCAAGCTGTAGCCATGTCTGTTTTAGACACTAAACTAACTATCTTGTTTTAATCACCCTCCGCTCTTCTATTAATGAAATAGCATCAAAGGGGTGACTAAAAAGTCACCTGTTTCTGTCATTTTCCACCAATGTGTCACTGGCCCTCTTACACAACTCACATCTGTGTGTAAGCCGAGTGCTCCCACAAAAAAATTGTGAGATTTAAGTCAGAAATCTGAGAAAAAAAGTCAGAATTCTGAGATTAAAGCCAGAATTCTGACTTTACCATATTAAACTAAAATAATATTTAAAAATCAGTTAAGTTTTTATTTTTTTCAGTGGCCCTAATCCTCTTCCATACTCACCTGTATTTTAACACCACTTTTTTTCCAAATCTTTTTGATCAGTTTGCAATCCGCAATATATTTTTTAAAATCAAACCCAATATTTATGAAGGCTCTATTTAACCATTTTAATTAATTGTAGATATGTTTAAACCCTATATGCTTTTCAAATACAAATCCACATTTGTCAGCTTGGTCATTCCTTAGTAGCTATATTTTCCCCAGAAATATCTGCCCTCTATAAATAATTTAGCGTGCATTAATTAAGGACAAAGTGCAAAGAAATCAATGTTCACTCAACACAAGTGTTTTTATTAAAAACAGTTCACAGCATCCTTACTGTTTTCTTTTATCAACTCCAAGGGAATCAAGATGACAAGCTTTAAAGAGGCAAAATGATTAATGCTTTCCTTTCGGATACTGTAACATCAGTGTAAACAGTGTAATATTGGATACTTTATCAAACTGGATTCTTAATTATTAAATTCAAGAGATGTAGAGATATCCAGGCTATCATTAATATATTTAAGGCTACCGATTTAATCTGACACGAATGGTAGTCCATAAACAAAGGCAATAATAAATGCAGGTATCAGCACTTGGTATTTTATCATTTCTGATGGAGTAAAACAGCAGCTTTGTTCATGTTTGTAACAGTTCTATTCACATTTAAGTCCAACAGTCCCAACATCAGGTAAATAAAACTAATGCTTTATGAAGTGCGGAATTGTAGTATTCATTTTGCAGCTCAAGAACAGACATCCTCTCCTTGTAGGGCAATTTGATGCCAGAGCTCTCAGTGGGCTATAAAACTGACTGACAATGATTAAGTCACCATCCCCCAGGTCTGTTCAGGACGTGCAAGAAAACTGGTGGGAAAATACAGCAAACGTATGAAAACCATGGCATCATTCTGTGCTTATGTGCATCCTTTACAGAGAAAGAAATGTCAGCAATCTGTTATTAAGTTATCCTAATCTAAAGAGCACAGTTTTAATCTTTCCAAACAGTTAAAACACCAAGAACTATTTATCTTATAGGGATTCTCCTTAAGGCAGGTACGAAGTCAGTGATGCATAAACTGTCTCTTTAGCTTAGCGTCCCATCGTTGGCATGGTGACAGCAGGGCTCGTCACGGTGGCGTCCTCTGCCTTCCACTGAGACGTCACAGTCTTGATCTGAGTGAAGAACTGAATACCCTGGTGGTGAAAGTGGAGTGGATTTGTCAGCAAGTCAAAGGGAAAACATGTTTAGTCTCTGGGATTATGCAAATCATCCTAAAAAAAAAAAAAAGAATTGTTTTTTTTTTTTTGTCTTTTTACCTGTTTGCCATAGAAGTTGGTATCTCCTCTGAAAGAACCTCTGGAGCCAGTAAAGGAGAACATGGGCAGGGGGACGGGGATGGGTACGTTTACCCCAATCTTAATAAAAGCATAAAAACACCTATAAATACTTGCCAAAATGGGAGGACAAGTCTAAAGCAGAATAAACTAACAAAATGTAAAACATTGGGAGCAGAATCTGGATTAAGGGATTCTGCAGAATCTAAGAGAACTTGTTGAACATAGATGAACGGAAATCTAAAAACCACATTTTAAACAACCCATCTCCATGATAAGGGGCACGTTTGATCATTTCAACTGTTCACTGGAGCTCTGCCGAGCCATTTTATTCAGCGCCATGTTGCACATTTTGTCACTCAAATTGGTTTCAGGTCTATCCAGCTGCATCCAGAAGCAATTTGGTCTATGTTATTAATAACTCTGCCTGGAAACTGACAATGAACAGTGAGGTTCTACAGTGTTGTGCATATACAAATTCATCAAGCAATGACAGTCTAAGACGCTAATGCAAATGAGCTTCAAGTCATAAACCACTGATGCTTTATAAATATCTTCAGCCAGGAGAAAAGGAGATTATCAAAACACAATAAACCACCAGTTCCAGGTGTGCAGCTGAGATTAGGATCACAGATTCAAAAGCAACTAAATCTCCATTAAAGCTTAAAACCATTTTTTTTCTGTATAAATCTCCATTCTGGTGTCTTTTATAAACCCCCTCACCTGTCCTACATCCACTTCATGTGTATATTTGCGTGCTGTGGCTCCATTGGTGGTAAAGATGGCCGTGCCGTTGCCATAAGGGTTTCTGTTGATCAAAGATATGGCTTCATCGAGCGTGTCGGCTTCAAGGATTATGAGCACCGGCCCAAAGATCTCCTCCTTGTAGCATTTCATGTCAGGCTGAAAAGAAAAGGAAAGATGAGAGAAGAGCTTCCCTGTGAAAAAGGAAAATTCTGGGCATCATTAAGGTATCCCACTGCTGCTAGTATCCCCATTTCTGCTGAAGATAATCAACAGTGCTATAGATTCATTTTGTAATATTTCAAACAACTTCTTATTTTAGGAATTTGAAAAACTCCAGAAACCTTGATGCAAGAGGAAGGACGCTACTTTGAGAAAACTGAAAGTTATTAGAGGGATTCATTAGTCTGAAATAGACTGCATTAGCACATAGGCAGGGGGAAAAAATCTGCATTTTCCTCAGATTAACCCTACAGTGGCCAAAACCACACATCCATTAATCTCCAACAGAAGCAGTAAAAAAATAGAAAAACGTTTGATTCTGACGAACAGGGAGACTGTTTTTTTTTTTTTTTTGCCTCTGATAATAACTTCAGCACCAAAATAAGTTCTGCAGAAATGAGACGTCCTTGGTTATTAATATCATTTCCATTTCATTTTCAGAACCACATACAGGGACATGCAGCTCCAGAGGAAAATAGTTCACTTTTTATAGTTAAAAAAAAATCATTATTAAAAACACCTGGAATCCAGGCTGTCCATTCTATTAGGCAGGCAAAAGTATTCATACCCCTCAACCTTTCCACAACTGACCTAAATGTCTTTTTCTGGGGATTTGTACATGAAGAACCAAATCACATCAAAAAAAAAAGGAAAAAGAATAATATTATATATCCCTCTGCGTCTACACACACTTCAAAATTCTGCACTACTTTGGCCGATAACATCAAATCCCCCAATTTACACAAAACTTTAATGTTGCAATGAAAACTTTTGTAAGAAGCTGTAGATTTTGATTCCCATTCTCACCCTGACGTTGCTTAAGATGGTGGGTCCAACAAAGTTTCCGTTTTCATATCCTTTGACGTGAACGTTCCTCCCATCCAGCAGCAGCTTAGCACCTTCATTAACGCCACTCTGGATCAAATGCTCCACCTTAGCCTTCGCCTCAGGGGAGATCAGGGGCCCCACATCGGCCCCAGGTTGATCACCTGAAGAAAAACAATACTATTTTCTTTACAAACAGGCAACCTGAACAAAACTTTGTTTTTAAAATAAAAAGCTTGATAATAGATAACACTTTGGACTGATTTGCATAAAAAAACTCTTCTTCTTGTTACCTGCATTTACGCGCAGCGATCTGGAGCGCTCCACCAGCTCTGGGAGCCAGTCACGAGACTCTCCGACAAAAATAGCAGTGGAGAGAGCCATGCATCGCTGACCAGCGGCTCCAAAGGCAGCCCCCACCAGCTGGTTGATGGTGTTCTCTTTGTTGGCGTCAGGCATCACCACACCATGGTTCTTTGCACCCTAAATGCCAAAAGAAAGAAAAAAAAAAAAAGCAAGCACAGATGTCGATATGTTCATTTTTACAGAAAATAATGGCCTTTCTAATTGAAGATTGGAGCATTTGAGAGTGTTCAGTGAAGCGCTCCGAGTACCATGTTGGACTGAACCCTCTTTCCATTCTTGGAGCCCCGCTCGTAGATGTACTCTCCTGCCTGGTTGGATCCCACAAAGCTGATGGCTTTAATGGCTGGATGGTCACAGATAAAATTCACAGCTTCACAAAGGAGAAAAAAAAAAAAAGAAGAAGGTTGAGCCTTTTTTTCTTTAAAAGAAATGTTTGGATT